AGAAGACGCTCCTTTTAAAAAAAAAAAAAAGCGCGAAGAAGATGGAGACTTCGCAATTTGCATGATTCTCAGCTTCTGGTCCTGGCTCTGCATATTCTTTGCTTCAAGATAGTCGAGGGTACCTTTGTAATTTTATTCTTTTATGCGGGAGGTGTCTTCTTCTATTTTTTTTTTTTTTTTAAATACTCCTCCGTTACTCAATATAGCCGAAGTTAGGAAATTAATTTATAAAAATTAAAAAATTAGTTAAATTAATTAGAGTGTTTATAATGAAAGTGTTAGTTTCTTTAAAATGCTACATTTAATTTTGACCGAATAAGATGTCAACTTGAATTAAAAAAGGTGAAGTGAAAATCTAGAAATAGAAGAGAAAGGGACAGGGATCCTAAAATAAGCAACATGATTCATGTGGCTTCTGAATACTAAATTACTTAGAAGAGTCATCGTATTCATGTTTTTAAAAGAAGATAGTCTGTATAGGATTTTACCAATACAATGGAGACTTTTTCCACCTTTTTCTTATGAATATCAAATTTTATCGCCTTTCGTAATGAATTTTTTCAGGGCTGGTCGATTCAATTTTGGTGGATGGAATTTTATTTCTCTAGAAGGGGTCATGCCGTCATGGCAGCTCAAACATCACCCTTGGCCTAAAAACGAAATTAAAATTTTTTTATTGGCAGTGGGATTTAAAGGGCTTGTGTAAGGCCCAGAAGCCCAGGTGAAGAGGGGCCCGTGAAAAGGTTTTGGAGACCCGTACACTTCAGAAACCCAAAGTCCTCTTCATGTTTTGGGATTGGTTTTGCTTCTCTCTGATGCGCTTCAGGATCCAAAATAATTGGATTATTAGAGTAATTTTGTTTTTGTTGATGAACATGTTTCTTATTCTAAATTTCATGATATAAATATTACTTATTTTAAATAATATCCCAATTATATGAAGGGCACTAGATGGAGGTAGTTAATACTTAAAATGGCGTGCTATTAAATGGAGGGCAAGGGGGGGGGGATAATTTTTGCATGGTACGTAAATTTGATTTGATATTTGTTGTTCCTTTAGATTTTTCATAAAGTAAAGTTCCTTTCAAATAACTTATTTTTTTTTCCGTTTTTATAGCAAGGAGGGCAAATATAACTTACTTTTAGACGGGAAAAAAAGGGAGGATAAAAGTCACGGCCTTCGTTGTGGATTCACACAAGTAACCATCATCCCTCCTTTTTTGTCATTATTTTGTCTCTTTCTTAACTTCAACCGTCGACCCGTGATCGGAAATTGCTGACCGCCTTTTCTCGGACATTCCTTCTCACTTTCATCATTAATCTAACGGTCATCCTTTTTTGAGCTCTTCAGTTAATAAAAGTTTCTTTTCACATATAATAAATAAAGGAAAAATTCCAGAAAAGGTCCTTAGAATATATAAAATCCCAGATTGGGTCTTGGAATTTCCAAAATGACAGAAAGGGTCAGTGACCCAATCTGTCATTTGGCAAATCAAGAGGAATTGACAATTTTGCCCTCATTTGTATTCATTCACTATAACGATTTAAGAAATCACTATAAGGGTTTAAGCATTATCTAGATTCATGTAACGAATAACTACTCGTTTTTTCATATTCAGGTGTCTTGTTATTAACTACAACTAATTTTGTAATCACTAGAACAATGTAAGTATTACCTAGATTCGTGTAGAGAATAACTATTCACTTTTTCATAGTCAGGCACCTTATTATTAACTACAACTAATCTTGTAATTATTAACTATAATTAATCTTGTAATCACTAGAACAGTGTAAGCGTTACCTAGATTTGTATAGAGAATAACTACTCATTTAGTCAGGGGCAAAATTGTCAATTGGTCTTAATTTCACAAATGACAGATTGGGTCACTGACCCTTTCTGTCATTTTGGAAATTCCAGGACCCAATCTGGGATTTCATATATTCGAGGGACCTTTTCTGGAATTTTCTCATAAATAAATGTGGGATATTTTTTTTGAAAGAACTGATAAAAATGAACAGATTCCATATGCACTATCACTTTTACTGTGTTACATCACATCCTCATTTTAATTTAAACGATCCATTTCACTGTAAAAGATTCATTTTTTTTCTCAAAAAAGTTAACTTTTGTTATATGAAATAGCTGTCCCGTGATCTGAGAGCGAAGTGTCCTCATAACACCTACTCGACAGAAAATTCTAAGAAGTTGAACCTAGTGGATTTATATTACTCCTATTGATTAATATACTACTAACAGGTTTCAATAATGGCCAGCTTTTGCCAGCTCGTGTTTCATCATTGAAAGCCGAAATAAACAAACCCCCGAGTGAAGACTTTTCCCTGCATTCCAATTCCCAACGCCCCAATAAACAAATGCCAGTTTGTGCTTCCCGCATCCCTGCCTCTCCCTCCCGACACGTGTCCCTCCCGAGCACGTGGCGTCCAAGCAAAGGAGTTCCCCTCTGGATCCAGCTGATCCGAGGCCCGCCTCTCATCATGTTCGCGACAGCCAAACATGCGCCATTTGGGACGACCATTTTCCATCCCTCCCTTTCCTTCCTTTTATTCTTATTTTATTCTCCCTCGCATGTTAGTTGTTCTCCATTGGCAACATTATTTATTATTTTACTTTAATTTATTAAAAAAATACGAGTAATATAATCCCAGTGTTGTGATCGGAGGGTCGACGGAGAGAACAGAAAAGGCGAAAAGTCAAGTTAGCCTTTTCTGTTTTCCCGAAATGACGAAGATGTCCTCATCGTCCGACCCGCGTTGACTCGATCCATGTTAATCAGATCGAACAAACAAGAACGTGTGTCTGCAGCGAGTCAGGGACAGATGTACGGCTAGGATTTGCGGGTGCTTCGCGATAATCGGAGACGAGGACCGTCAAATCAGACCATACATGTGAAAACTAGAAAGGGTCAGTGAACGCGGAATGGGTCCTGAGTTCTGACCCGTCTGACAGCCGAGAAGGCCGGGGGTTGGACAGTAACATCCTTGATACGTCTTCAATAAAAAATAATATATGTGTTGTTATTAGTTATCATACAATAATTACTAGTAAATTCCTAAAAGATACGTGCTACCCAAGCATTTTAAAAAAATAATACACATGATTTGCTTTAATTTTATATGATATTGGGCCGTAAAACTAATGAAATTTTAACTAAAAGCTACTAATGTGATCGATAACAATAATAAGCCTTATCTCACTAAGTAGGGTCGACTACATAAATCACACGATGCTATTGTGCTCTGTCAACAACCCAGTCTTTAAATATGTTGTTAATCATGAGGTATTGTTCAATGACCTCATTAAGTGTTCTTCTCGATCTTCCTCTGTCACTTTTTATGGGACTCCATACTATTTGATCCACCCTCCTCACCAAGACTTCCAATGACATTCTCTGCATATGTCCAAATCACCTTAAGCGATACTCAATTATTTTCTCTTGCATAGATGCTACGCTGCTCTGATATTTTTATTTTGAATATTATTTTTTCTTATATGACCACACATCTATCTCAACATCCTCATTTTTGCTACTCAACTTTATGCTCTTGTTTTCCTTTTATCGCCTAACATTTACTACCGCACAACATGACTAGTTTTATAGCAGTTGGATAAAAAAATTTCTTAAGCTTCTCATGTACCTTCTTATCAATAACTCTGGTAGCCTTTTTCCACTTAAAAAAAGGCTACTAATGTAATCATATGTTTAAAAAAAGTTACCGAAGCACGTTTGTCAATTTAAGAAGGGGAATATTGTATTGCCCGTTTGGAAAGTAAATTAGGCATTGGATCAAAATATACAGCATTTTATTTTGCCATAAATATAAAACCGAATCGATAGATGTGATTTTACGTTGAATATATGAGTTTCATCTGCTATTTTTCTCATAGAAGGGGTATTTTAATAAAAGTGATACCATTTGCATATAATGTTAATAATAATAATAAAACGATCAACTTAATCAATTTACTTAATATTTATAGATCAGTCACATAATTTTTATGAAAAATATCAGTAAGATGTCAATGAGTTTATAGTGTAGTGATATGAAAAATACTTCATAAATTAGAGATAACATTTTTTTTTTACCAGCAAATAAGAGGCCACATTGGATCTTGTAATTTCAAATTGTGAAATAATTCTTTTGTTTTTTGTAAGAATTGGTGTGGGGTCCTAAAGTGAAAGATAATTATTAAGAAATCTAAATGAAAAGTCGAGGCCTGTTTTCATTTAATTATTTCGGAAAGTTGTCACTACATCCTGTTACTATGAAACATTCCGCGTGAATATGTTTTTCACACGAAACTTATTACAATTTTCACTATTTGTTTATTTATTAATTTTTGGAAATGATATTAGTACGATGGGGGGGTGGCGGTACATTGGGGAGGCAGAGAGAGGGACCGCTCACTGGCCGTTTGCGAACCGACACATAAGGGAACGAACAAGGAAGGGTGGTTATGGTAGTAATGTACAACCATTACAGGACAAACTGAGTACATTCACGAAATCACAACTGTGGTCATCAAGTTATATCAAGTTCGCCACATGAGTCCAACACTTCACAGGTGGCACTCTCCCATTCGACATGATTAGGTGCGGCCAGCCCACCACCCCATTCCCATCCATCTGTTCTTGCACCAAAATTCAAACACAACGAAAATATATCTACCCAAAAAAAAAAAAAACAAAGAGGACCCGTTACACGCAGGCACCGTCCATTGATGAGTTAACCCACGTTACGAATGTGGGTTAGAAATATTCTTTGATGAAATGATAATGAGAGAAGGGGTTTATTAATTTAAGCGACTCGAGGAATCTTTTTGAGCATTATTGGTTGATTAAGTCGCTTGTCTCTCTACATCCTTCCCCATCTCGCCTCTTTATATTCACTCTCTTCTCCTTTTCGTCTCCCACTCACCTCCATCTCTTCTTCTTCGTCTTTCAATCTCTGTTCTCTCTGTCTCACTTTCAGATCTCGCCATGGCCTTCGCTGCTCTTCGAGTGTTCCTCATCTTGGGCCTTTTGGCTACTTCCTGCTTTGCTCAGGCCCCAGGAGCTGCTCCCGCTCAGCCCCCAGCTGCATCCCCACCGACAGCCACCACACCTCCTCCCGCCACCCCACCGCCCGCGACTCCTCCACCTGCTACTCCACCTCCCGCTGCCGCGCCTGCTCCCACCACTCCTTCACCAGTGGCTTCTCCTCCCTCAGCCACCCCTGCTGGTTCTCCGGGGCCATCCTCCGAATCACCTGCTGGCTCCCCACCCGCCCCTGCTGCTGAGGGCCCTTCAACCGGCGCTGCCGGCCCTGCTTCTGGGCCAACCGCCGGATCTACTCCACCACCCTCTGCCGCATTCTCGGTCAGCAAGGCCTTCGCCGCCGGGACTGCTTTTGTGGCTACATTTGCGGCCATGGCTGTGATTGCTTGAAGCTAGGGAAGGAAGGATTGGTTTTTCATGGGATTCGTCTGCCGCACATAGATGAGCCGTTGATATTGATATTTATGGATGGAGGGACGAGATCTGTTTGATTTTCTTCTGAGCGTTTCTTTCTATTCTTCTGATCCGTTTCATATCTATTGATTTTGAGGGTTTTACTTTTTCTTTAATGGTGTTTTTATTTGTTGGTTGGGAATTGGGTGATGATGATGATGATGATCATTGATCTGGGGATTCATATTGTTTGTGTTCACACGTGTATGTAGATGACTATCCTGATCATTTCGGTGTACATCTAATGATAGAATATGAATAAAACAGTTTGTAATTCTTTCACTTATTGGGAGTGTATCCGTAAAACAGGCTGCTTTCTCTCCCTGTTAGAACTAACCAATTATGGTTCTCTGACCAAAATAGGATTATTGATTGTGACATTATAACATCTTGATTGTGATTTCGGCTGAAATGAGGCCGACCACTTTAGGATCTAGAAACAATCTGTCTTCAGCAAAAGAAATTGCTTCTTTTATGCGCAGATCTGCAATTGAATTTCTGGGGCAGGTGGCAGATGTAGAATGGAAAGAATGAGTATTGTAGTACTGTAAAGTGAAAGCAAGCAATTTCTTTGACGGCAACCCAACAAGTTTTTAATCTAGATATGTGATATGTGACTTGAGTTGAGCAACAATACGAGGTTAATTCGGCTTCAAGTTGTTTCCTCTTCTTTCTTTTTTTCCCACCAAAAGTTCGGCGGCGTCGAGATCAAAAGCGTATGACGAAGGTGTAACGACTTTTTCCTTTCCGTATTGCTTCTTTTTTAAAAAAAGAAGGAAAAGAAAAGATCATCTAGGGGCTTTAACTTTTCTGTGTAAATGCCTTTGCCTTGGATCCTCTGACTAGGCGAAATTGGAGATCAATCTAGGCGCTTAATTTAGCTTCCCCGGTTGGATGCTTGCCACTTGTACCTTCCCTTTTCAAATTTATAAAAAAAAAAAAAACACGAGCAGAGGATTGAGTTCTGCATCGAATTCTTCATAATAATTTATTTTTCATGATTTGTAAAATATGAGTGCTCCGGGGTTTCAAATATATAAGGCTTAGCTAAATAATTTATAGAAATCAGAGAAGACCGTTTAAGCAAGTTGTTTGTCATTATATAATATTTCAGTGTTATTAAAACAAATCCTTCGGTTCAATTGTATACACAGAGCTTGGCAAAAAAAAAAAAAAATCGCACACCTAGAGGGAAAGAAATGAATAGAAAAGGGAGGAAGGGAACAAAGAACGTGGCTTGTGGGTTAGGGTTCGGTGATCTATGCTTTGCAGTCTGCACCCCCATCGAGATTGGTTAAACCTAATCAAATTCACAAATTCGAAGCAAACAATGCTTCCCATGACTTAATTGTTTCATTTTTTTTTCCCTTTAAAAAAATATTTGTTCAGTCACGAGCTTGAAGCTCGTGGCTTCATAGACCCGCCCCCCTCTTGTATTTTTGATCTGTTGCGAGGGGGTTCTTTTTTTTTTTTTTAAATAACTTTTGTCCCATTTGTTACTGTTGTTCAGTCTGTTTGGCGTAACGTTTTGAGGGGGAAAAAAAGCTTATAGGTATAATAAGTCAGCTTATAAATTAAGGAGCTATTTCTCATAGTTTTTGGTACCGTTTGGATGTTTGCCCAAACCATGGTTTGGGTAAAAAATTGCCTAAACAGTCATCTCAAAAATCAAACCATGGTTTTGGAAAAAGCAAATTTTTTTTGCTTTTGGAGAAAAAAAGGAGAGTGCGAAAGCTTATAGGATATGTATCTTGTTATTTTTTTTATAAACATATTTTTTTATAAACATATTTAATCTTATATTTTATAAATATATATACATATTAATTATTTATTAATTATATTATCTTATGTATTATTAATTATGTTGGTAAAAAATATATTATTAACAATTTTATTCCTTCAAATTAAAATATATCATAAAATCTATTTTTCTGTAATTATCATATTAACTTATGTCTTTTTTTTTAGTAATTTGTGTATATAAAAAGTACTTCTGATAACAACTATCCAAACACTCTCACTTTTCAAAATCACTTCAGAATCTATTCTTCACAGAATCTATTCTCCAGAATCACTTTTCCAAACCACGGTTTGGTTTCATCCAAACACACCCTTTGGCTAATATGATTTGTAGGTCAAAAGCTACTTTTTTAGACACAGTTACAAAAACATCTAAAAATTACTTGTGACCTATGCAAAAATAGCTTTTTAAAATTAAAAGACATTTTTACCTTATATCTATGTTGTTCTTATGTTTCTCTCTATATATTCTTTATAATTTCCAATTGGTTTTTAGTTATTTATTTTTAATATTTTAAAATAATCTTTAACAGTTGTTATAATATTTTTAATATTATTTTTATACTATATCTACATAAATTATACAAAGCACATCATCTAATTAATTGTGTAATATGATTTCGTTCAAAAATTTTCATTTCTAATTTATATTTTATTAATTAAATATAAAATTTTCATACTATAGTAATTTAAAATTATTATATTTTGTAAATTCATATTTTTAATTATTTAATAAAAGTCACACTCATTTTTGTCATTCTGAAAACTAAACTTACTTATTCAATCATAATCCAAACAACTTTTTCACTTTACAAACTAACTTTTATAAAAATCAATTGAAACACAAATCAAACCACCCAATTTAATCTTTGCTCAATCTCATTTTTCTAAAAGTGAGATTGAAAATAAGTTATTTTTTCTACTACTAAGCCAAATGAACCTTTTATTCTGCAAAGTTTCCCACAATTGTGCATTATGAATCCCTCCAATTATTGGACTACATATAAGCCAAACCCCATTCCGATTTTCATTTTAATAGAGCTTGTGACGTACTACCTCCGATTTTTAATATAAGAGTTCGTTTGACTTTTAATTTGATTATAAATATAAGATTCTAATCTACTTTGTCTCGCATATTTATCTATTTTTTAAAAATAATTCTCATAATAGTTACACATATTTTAAAGGTTATATCAAATACTACCTCCAGTCCTAATTATAAGACCCAGTTGACTTATTTGAGGAGATTAAGAAAGTAAGTTAAGTTAGTTATTTGTAATAAATAAGTGTTGTCATTCCTAAAATATCCTTGCTAATTAAGTGTATTGGCTAGAACTATCATTGTTAGAAGGACTATCTTGAAAAAAAATACATAAATATGAAAGACAAAATGGATTGGGATCTTATAATTAGGACCAAACAAAAAGTCAAACGGGGTCTTATATTAAGGACCGGAGGTAGTAGTTAATATACATTATGAGCAATATTGTCACTAATTTATTATAAATAATTAATTTAATATATTTTTTTTAATTTACTCAAATAGAATTTGCAGGGTCATGACCTCTCTCTCTTTCTCTGGTCCAGGCTCAACAGAGGCAGCCTTTTGAGTTTGGAATGGCCAGCCTCAACGCTTTCATGCGATCTTGCCACCTCACCAACTTTAACTGCGTCTAAGAACTTGTCTGCTGTATATGTGTTCCATTAACTGCCGGGCCACCAAGGAGATCCCCGTGAATAACACTGACCTCCAGACTTCAACTGGACCCACAAATGGATCAGCCAATATGGACCTAATAAATGCTGGCTAGATAGAATTAACTGATCAAAAGTTGAGCACTGGCCAGTGAATGTTCGGGTGGAGCCAGTAAGATAGAGATATGGGTATTTAGAAATCAAAAGCTGAAATTCTACTATTATGTTTAAAATGTAGGGTCTGTTTGGATGCCCCAAAACCGTGGTTTCAAAAGCACTTTTCCGCAAAACGAGGTAACCTCCTCCACATATTTACTTCGTAATCCGTAAAAGCACTTCTGAAACCATGGTTTGGTTTCTATCCAAACACTCTCGTAGTATGTAACTAACATACATAAAATCGGCGATGGAGGACCTGGAATTTGCGAGATTCAAGTGGCGTTTCACGCAGCTCTCACATGCATCCTGCTTCCCGTCATCAGCCGGCAGAAACACGAAGGAGAGACAACTATTGCAAGCTGGGCCACAATGGCCATTATTGTTAGGCCTCAGTAATCATCAGTCCATAAGTGCTATTTTAGGATAGGCACGTGATATGATGATCTCACCTAACAATGGTAAGGTCGATATTAGTATAAGGCAGAGGGTGGCCTTTTTTTCTCTCAACGGCATAAGTATTTTTTTTGTTCAGAGGTAAAATATTAGTGGGTACTATAACATAGGCACTTTTCTCAACCGAATAGATTTTGAATAATTAATTAAATTGTTGGGCCAATGAAGGGCCCACTTGTATCTGAAAGAAGGCATAGTTAGTAAAGCACCAATTGGCAAATACGACGGGCTTGCTTTTTATGGCCTTTAATTTGTATTCACACTGGTCCTTATTACAAGATGTCAATAAGCCCATCAATGACCTTTTGTTTTTTTAAGTTTACTCTTGGTGACAAATTATCAAAATAAAATTTATTAAACAATATTCATGTAAATTATATTATTAAATAGGGGTATATTTGAAAAATTTTATAATTTTGAAACATATTTATGTCATTCATTGATTTGTGTGAATTAGGTGACAACCCTTTATGATAAGAATAAGCACTGGAGAGAGTACTAAGTTAACAAATTTCGAGGAGAGGGAGCTTTCTCAACCACAAATTAAAACTTACAAAAAAAAAACAATAAAGATGAAGTGATCGATGGAGCAATAGTGTTAGTGCATATACATGCATCTGTATGCGTGTTCGGGGAGGGGTTGAAAGGAGGAACATGTGCATACTTAGAATAGTACTACCTCCTGTCCTAATTATAAGACCCAATTGACTAATTTGAGAAGATTAAGAAAGTAAGTTAAGTTAGTTATTTGTAACAAATAAATGTTATCATTCCTAAAATATCCTTGCTAATTAAGTGTATTGGTTAGAACTATCATTATTAGAAGGACTATCTTGGAAAAAAATACATAAATATAAGAGACAAAATGAATTGGGGTCTTATAATTAGAACCAAATTAAAAGTCAAACGGGGTCTTATATTAAGGACCGGAGGTAGTATTAAGAAGCCTTAGAAGATGGGCGGGACAAAAGAACCATCAGTTGAATGAAGCAATATATGAATTAAAATAAAAATCCATGCTTATCAACACTAATCCAAACAAAGGCGAGGATGGCTGGGTTGAGGAGTTTTTAAAAGTATTTTTTTTGTAAATTATGATAAATTTTTTCATATATTTATTTTGTATAGCATAAAATCACGTTTAAAACTATAATTTGATTTTCATTTAAACATTTTTTTTAATATTCCAGGAATTAAAAAACTGTCATCTTTTTTTCCCCTTGGGGAGTTTGACAATCCTCTATACTCGGTTAAAAAAGTACTTTTATATAATTAATGCATTACCCCAAGGGGGGGGGGGGGATGCTGCCAAAATCAGAGCAGAAAAGGAGTGGAGCATGGCTTCCCATGTGGGTCATTCCGCAGCCTCAAAGGTCTTCAATAAAACGACAGCCTTCTCTTCCCAAGCGTCCATCGTCACTAGTACCTCCTCTGTATATACATCCACAAGTTTTTTTGGGTTATTTTTTTCAAATTTTATGCTACTTATGTAATACTTCTCTCAATTCTAAATATAATACTTATTTTATAATATAAATCATATTATAAAATAGATTTTATATTTACAATCACAAGATTATTTTATATTTTCTCAACACTTATCTGGTTCTGTATCGATTCGCATGCTATCACATTTATGTCGGGAAAAAAAAAACATTCCATTTGATTGTTACCACTTACTGTCTAATATCTACGCATCCATATATATAAAATGCCTGTCTATAGTATTAACTTATATATTAGAAAATTAAATTAAAAATTAAAAATAAATAAAATGAATTAAAATAGGAAGAATTATTGTGATGTTTTAATGGGCGATGATAATTACCAAACATTTTTAATAATAAGTGAGCAACTAAAATTTATTATTATAAACTCTTTAGTTGTTATGAGATTTTTTTTTTGTACATACGTGGTTGCTTTCTTAAGACGTTATCTTAAATATTAAACTTTCTTCCACCCTAAATAGTTCATCTGCTTCTATATATAACTTTCATTTTCAAAAATAAATTTAATCTAAAATATAAGTTTTTTTTTAAATTTGTATGAGTATTTATTATTATTTCATCTATTTTGCTTTCAGTTGTATTTAGTACTTCTTTTCTCTTATATTAATCCCCATATATTCATCTAATTTAATCTATTTTTTTAAAAACATATTTCTGACTTATTTATTCTTTTTTTTACTAATTTTAATTATCAATTTATTATATATAATTCAGTTATTTGAAATTTATATATAAAGTCGGACGACTTCTGCCACAAGATTTATTTTTCGGAAGACGGCATTAATGACCCTCTTACAAAAATGACGTAAGCAATGACCCAAAAAAAACTGTGATATTAATATAGATATTGATATTGTACGTAAACGAACAGACGCCTTGTTCTGGCCTCTCGCCCACTTGCATTTTGCACCTTTCCCCGAAATGACATGTGCATTTGTGCGTGTAAGATATGTGGATCCCATATCTACTACTTTTTTTTCTTTTTGTCAAAAAACAATTTTTATTTTCCCCAAATTCCCGGGATATAAGACCTTACGCCCTTGCTACTCTCAAATATTCCTCCTCTCACTCGGTCAACTTTTCTCTTCCTGCGCCTGTCTTCTTCGTCGTCCTTGCGCTATTCACAGCACGGCATGCCGAGCAGAGAAGCGTCGGGTCCTTACTTGGGTGAAGCAAAGGTTCCATTGTTGGAACCCCACCTCTCGGACCTTGTCCCCAAAGATGAACAAGACCACGTCGCTCATGAAACTCTAACGCGGAGAGTATGGGTCGAATCAAAGAAGCTCTGGCACATAGTCGGCCCCGCCATCTTCAGCCGCGTCGCCTCCTACTCCATGCTGGTCATCACCCAGGCCTTCGCCGGCCACCTCGGTGACCTCGAGCTCGCCGCAATCTCCATCGCCAACAACGTCATCGTCGGCTTCGACTTCGGCCTCTTGGTACGCACACACCCAGAACCTTCTTTAACTAAACTCTTCTTAAATCACTCGGTGTTTGCCTGACATGTGAATTTCTGTATTTTTGTTTGATGGATCAGTTGGGTATGGCAAGTGCGTTGGAAACGTTATGTGGGCAAGCATTCGGAGCGAAGAAGTACTACATGTTAGGAGTATACATGCAGCGCTCATGGATAGTTCTGTTCATGTGTTGTGTGTTGCTGTTACCAATTTATCTTTTTGCGACGCCGGCGCTGAAGCTGTTAGGGCAGACGGAAGAGTTGTCGGAGCTTTCTGGGGCGGTGGCCAAGTGGATGATACCGCTTCACTTCAGTTTTGCGTTTCAGTTCCCATTGCAACGGTTCTTGCAGAGCCAGCTGAAGACGGGGGCGATTGCTTGGGTTTCTCTGGTGGCTTTGATCGTCCACGTGTTTGTGAGCTGGTTGTTTGTATACCAGTTTCAGTTCGGAGTGATCGGAACCGCCGCCACGATTAACATTTCCTGGTGGGTTTTGGTGTTTGGACTTTTTGGTTACACCGCGTGTGGCGGTTGCCCTGAAACTTGGACGGGATTCTCTATTGAAGCTCTTTCTGGTCTCTGGGAGTTCGTGAAGCTCTCTGCTGCTTCTGGGGTCATGCTATGGTACTTCTAACTAATGACCGACTTAATTAGTTCTGAAGATCATGAATAGGTCAAATTAATATGATTGATGGGTTTTAATCAATTACAGCTTGGAGAACTGGTACTATAGAGTGCTGATATTGATGACTGGGAATCTTCAGAATGCGGAAATTGCGGTGGATGCTTTGTCCATATGGTAACTCTCAAAAACTCCCTGACGGATTTTAGTTTGTTTCTTTCCTCTCATTTATTTGTTTTTTGCCCTAAATTTGCTTGAAAAAATTAGTGTTGGGATTCATGTGACGATGCAGTGATAACGTTGTTTGTCTTGCAGCATGACCATCAATGGCTGGGAGCTCATGATTCCTCTGGCGTTCTTTGCGGCCACCGGGTAAGACGACGACGCATTACATATATTTTAATAAGTAACTTTAAAAATCTATTGCTTGTTTTTCTGTACCATAATAATTAAACAATTGCGAATCATCACATCATGCCGTCTTTTTTTTTTTTTTAAATTAACGGAATCTCAAAGGCTTCAGATTTCAGAAAATGTTGTCAAACTCAAATTGGGCAGCAAACATGTATATAGCCAAATAATTTCCATTACGATTTATCGCATAAAATGAAAGTTGTTATTATCAGCTGATGCAGTAGCATCCAACAAAAATTCGTGTGCCCGAGATTATCAGCTCGGAGTTTGATTGTTAGTTTTTTTATGGTGCCATTATTGGCCTGACGTTCCAGAATTCAAATCCAACCCACCTACTAGCACAGCCTACTGCCTACATTAATAATGCATTGCTTGAAAGAGACAAACAGATGATACGTCAGATTAATAATGAAACCCAGTTGGCGTTCTTTATTGGGTTCGGGTGTATGAGGACTAATGACGGGAAGAAGACAAAGTAGCAATAATTAATCCGTAGTTACTTGTTTCTCTAATTAAAAGTGACATGTCGGGCAACGTGGAAGATTAGGACAGGAACCTGCGCAGAAAGAGACTATTCCCCTGGGTAACACGTGACCTTTTGCTGTGTCCCCGCTTGAGCTTTTTTTCCCCGAAGTTAGTCAACAAGGTTTCTGAGATTTTCATGAGCTGCAGATTGGTAGGAGAACAATTTAAGGGGACGACATCATATTTGGCGCAGGTCTCATTACGTTGGTGTTGGAAATGCAGGGTGAGGGTGGCGAACGAACTCGGGGCAGGGAATGGGAAAGGGGCAAAGTTTGCGACGAAGGTGTCAGTGGGGACGTCAGTGGTGATAGGGATGGTGTTTTGGATGCTGATAATGGCATTTCATGATCAATTTGGATACATATTCTCTTCCAGCAGAGCCGTGCTTGAGGAGGTCAACAAACTCTCTCTCCTCCTCGCTTTCACCGTCTTGCTCAACAGTGTCCAGCCTGTTCTCTCCGGTATATATCTTTATTATTACCCACTCTCACTTTTCTTTGTCTTCATTCGTATCCTCACGTCTTCACGTAATATTTTACTACTTTTTAGTCTTAATATAAGAATTAATTAACTAATTTGAGTAGATTAAGAAAGCTTGTCAAGTTAGTTATTTATAATAAACGTGTTATCTTTTCTAAAATATCCTTACTAATCAAATGTGTATTAGCTAAAACTACTATTATTACAAGAACTATCTCAGAAAGAAAATAAATAAATACGAGATATAAAAAAAATTAGGGTCTTATATTAGGATTAAAATAAAAGTTAAACGAATTTTTATATTAAAGACCGGAAGTAGTAGAATTTAACATCAGCGTGTTTTGGTTCTTACAATTTGATTAAATCATGATTTTAGTTTGGAATTTGGTCTGAATTGACGGGGTTGTTAGGTGTAAGGAAAAAAAAACCCATTTAAACCAAATTCTTACGAAACCATAGCAACCGCAAATAATAATCCGGAACGAGGGAGAGTATATTAACCTTAAGATGTATGAGAATGATGGATTTTTTGATGTGGGTATGAACAGGAGTTGCTGTGGGATCAGGTTGGCAGTCATACGTGGCATACATCAACTTGGGATGTTACTATCTAATTGGGGTCCCTCTTGGATTCTTGATGGGTTGGGTTTTCCACCTTGGTGTTATGGTATCTCTTCTGTCTAACTATCATATACACGCATCCTCTTGATTAAATGTCTAATCGTGTATTAATTATATTCGCATGCGCATCATTTGACTTCGTTACATACATAAATTATCGCATGTGTCATATCATTTCGTGTGTATGCATGAGCTCATTTCACTGTTTCGTTGACTCCAAATTTTAGATATTTATATTCTAAATATTAAACAATACATGCTTGGCGTCCGCCATAGTATCAATCAGAATTTTGCAAACCTTTGACCAAGCTCAACGGCACAGACGTAATTGAAAAAGATAAGAAAAAAAAAAAGAATTATAAATTTTAGAAATCAAATGAAAAATTGAGTACAACTATGATTGGAACTAATAAGAAAATCATATGACCTAAAAATAATATTAAATTGACGTGCTAATCTTTGGAGATATATGCAAATTGTTGGGGTCAGGTTGACTCCAGATTAATTAATTGTGTTTGTGACTGTGACACCAGGGGATATGGGCCGGCATGATTTTTGGGGGCACGGCAACTCAGACACTGGTATTGGCTTTGATCACCATTCGCTGCGACTGGGACAAAGAGGTATTATTATATATGCCTGATTATATTATTATCATCATCATTATTATTAATTCATCCAGGTTAAATTTCACTAATCCGTTTTATTTTTTTCTTCTTATGGGACCAATTCATGAGTTTGACATATTTGAATTGCTACCCTGATGCAGGCTGAGAGGGCATCCTTGCACTTGAGGAAATGGGAAAATCCAAAGCATGAAGTGGCGTAATTCTATTGGTCTCCTCAGTTATATCTATAAGGGATCCACCTCGTCCTTTTTTGACCCACACTGGCTCCATGGATGGAATAATTTAATTTTCAAGGAGAAAAAAAAAAGAAAAATAGAGAAGGGAAATTAAAGAAAGATGCAAAAACCAAAAGAGAAGAAACCTGAGAAGCTTGTCACAAAAAGCTGGAGAAACCTATTTCGTTTTGGGCTGTGCATTCAGCTAAAACTGAATGGTAGGCCCAAATTCATAACAATTACTAGCTTATTAGTACCCGCTATTGATAATCACAATTCATAAGCCCGCGTAAATGATCAAATATGTGTGGAATATTGGGATCATTATTGGGCTCCTGAAAGTGAAGCCCAATGGGCCTCCAGTGGCTTTTGTTTTAAGGGCCAGAGAGGCTCAAGTAATTTAGTTACATTTATTCATACTTTCTCTGTACCCCATAAATAAAAAAGAGTATTCGTGCTTTCTTTCCTTATCTCTTTCAATACTCAAGCCCATCCATCTATTTTGATTTTTCTGGTGAAAACATAGTTAGCTGTTAACATTAAACTTCTTTTGTCATATATTTAGTTAACATCACAAATAATTATTCAAATTTTTATAGGTCATACTATTTGTAATAATAAATGTGGACTATTAAATTAATTCTATTGTAAGATTCCTCCTAACCATTGGATTGCAATCAAGAGAGGAAATTAAGAAGAGAAAATATGACCCATACTTGAACTACCTGTATTTTAGATAAAAATATCATAACGAGGTTTTTCTAAACAGGCTCAATTGTATCTATCTTCTTAAGCACTTACAAGTGTTTTTATGCAAGTTGAGATAAAATTGTCCTTTCACATTAATTTAATATTTCATAAATTATAATTAAAAAGTTGCTTTTAAAGGCTCTTATTGCACACACTAGTGTGGTTTGTGAAGTTACATCCATGCCAAAATTATTTGTTTTCTTTTTATTTCATTTTAAACGAGGAATATTGTATGGAATTTGTTTTATCACCACGCAAATGCCGAAAGGATTTGCTTTAACACGAAGCGGGCTAGGTTTGTCCCAAAAGCATTTGAATCTACTTTATGTGCGTGTAATTTGAACAGCCCTCGATCAATTCGAACCCAAATCTCAAATGAACTTTCCCTGTTCTTCTTTTTCTTTTTAGAGACACACATATCAAAATCTTTTATATGCTGCTTGTTTATTCTGTCCTTCTTCTTGTTTTTTTTTTTTCCTTTGGATATTGTTGCAAAAGAGACAAATGGCTCAGCATGCTTTCGCTTATTCCTTACTTTTTAACTACCGCCAGCCCACACTGTCTACCCCCACAATAATTCGTCCGATTTAGATTTTCTATTGAATTTCACCCTCTTATATATGTAGCTTGGTTTCATTTTTGCATACATAAGTAGCTGAACTTAGTTTGCAAAAAACAGTTTTTTGGGTTCGAACTCTGAAGGGAATATTCAATTTATAATTGAAGAATGAGAATTTGATTTTTTTTTAAGGAAAAAAAAAGTTTGGTGATGGAGTAAATAGTAAAATAGGAAAGGGAAGACAGAACACTCATGTGAGGCTGCTGGCCGTACAATGTGGCCCAAAGGCATATATCATCTTTACCAAATTGCTCCCTCCCTTACTTTTTATAAGTAATATTAGACCTCATTGTGTAGATCAAAATATTAGTTAAAATTAGTTAAATACAATAAATGTGTAGAAATTAGAAGTTCTTTTTCTAAAATGCCCTTATTTATAGTGGGAGAGAGAATAAGAAAGAGAATAAAGAAATTATTATAATAAAGAGAATTATGGAAGAGAGAGAATGTGTGATGGAGAGATGATGGTTTAGAAAATGAAATAATAAATATATTGAATATTAAATAAGTAATTAATTGGATAAAATAGGAAATTCGCTACAAAAATTTAAAATAATTTGCAAATGTTGTTTTATTTAGGGATAAGGGAGATGGTAGTTGTTATTTATAAATAGGGACGAAGGGAGTGCTATGTGCCCATTCATTTATTCCCCGATTTCAGCCTTAAGTCAATTCTCAATCATTCACTCTCATCAATAAACAAAAAAATAATAAATAAAGTTTTATCTTTTAACTAAATCTTCATCTGATCTGATCAATCATCAAGTTGACTAGCACTCACTGTTTTGGGTTGACTATTGTTATTGGCTTGACGCCAGGGAACCAAACATTACAACTTACAACCATATTTAATAATTTGAGGAATCATTACCATCAACAATGAATCTACATATCATATCTGCCTCTATTATTTGCATCTTCTCTTTATTACTCATCTCCTACTAACATCATGATGAACATTGTTTTGAGTCCTAACCAAAATTTGAGTTGAATTGCGAGATTTCCGATCCAAACATACCGGAAATTTGTTTAAAGACTCAAGCGAAACATATTTTTAGGGGGTGTAATATATCTTCATTATATACATTTTTTCGATCCTAATATAAGATTTAATTAACTAATTTAAGTAAATTAAAGATGTTACTTAAATTAGTTAATATAATTTTTTTCAAAAAATACCTTAAACATGTTCCTTAATTCCCTCCTTCTATTTCTTATTCGATTATTGTTGGGGAATATTAATACGGTTAATTTGAAAAAAAATTATAAATGTATAAAATAAATCTTACATA